ATAGCGGATTTGTTTAAAACAACACGCTAACAAAACACAACTAATGTTTTTTTACCATTTAAAGCTGCCCAACCCTCTTTGATCCCTAGCTAGAAAAGATCGACGAGTCTGGAGCACCATTAAAATCACGCTGCTAAAAGTTTTATTATTCCTTAAAACGCATTTAAAGCAGTACATTAATAAACACATGTAATGTATTTTATTCTTTTAAAGACTAATGAAGCTGATTTGCTGGCATAAGCTGGTCTTATCGATCACGACAATAACTCGTGTGCTGGGGCCTGTACCCCCGCTGCGGACATTAGACATGTCAAAACATGTAAAACGCATTAAATCCCCTATTTTATACTATTACAATTAAGACAAATTAATAAATAGAGTTAATGTGCTTTCTGCCAGGAAGGTTTGCTGACTGTGTGGTTCCTATACACAGGGCTAGCGGCTAAACGGGGTGTTATAGGCCCCCCCTTGCTGTAGTCTTGCTGCTACAGTTTGTCAGCTAGCGGCCATGTTTGACTCCGCGACTCTATAGGCATGTGCTACTGGGTGAGAGAGAACATGGTGGGATATGATGTTTGGGGGTTTGTGTCTCTCCAACATTGGGAGAGAGCATGCTAGGAAAACTTCTCATTTCAACTTCATTTGCTGTCGTGGTCGGGCCGAAAAGGTAATTCCTCCTAAAAGTTTGCTGGTTAAATGCTTTCTTCAAACTTATACCGAAATAAAACATTGGTATATACTGCTAAAGTTTTTCTTCTTCTTTAAACATGTTGGTTAAATATAATGAGTTTAAATGTTTTCTTCCTTTAAAATGCGTAAAGTCGGGTTGCGTGTGCCAACTCCTAACAGTACGTGGCACATTCATCCTGCTGTACGTTTTTTTTTTATTCCTTAAAACGTAATAAAAAAACACATTAATAAATACATGTAATGTATTTTTGTTTTTTGCAGGTTGGGTGTGGTTGGTGGCCATAATGTACAGGCAGGTCAAGCTTATTTTATGAATCATCTATAAGGGCAGTGTCCTGATTGACCTGCTACCAGAATGACCTAGGTGGGGTGGAAATTCTAGGAGATATAGGAATATGTAATTTATTGTGTTTTTAAACATCACGAGGAAATGCAAATGAGTGTCATTGGACAGTACTTATATCTTGATTTGGCATTACTCACACAACTTACAGTACAAAGGATTTTGACCAGTGATATGTCACTTGAACAGAAATGAGAAAAATGTAAGTCTCACTGGTTTTGCAGGTTTACAGACACGTTACATTGCTGTAGCGCCCCCTATTGACTGATCAGCGTCAAATTTGGAGGGCCCTTCTCTAGGACCTTGCTTCAAGTTTGATGACGATTGGCTAAGGACACCCGAGATATAGCTGTCTGATTGAAATGGGCATGGCACCGGTACGGTCTGGATGTGGCTGGGTGAAAATCCTTGGATGTGTTGGGAAAACCCTGTTTTCAGACTTGAGAAGTTCTCTGTGTTGATTGATTTGGTAAAACGTATTGAATCGGCCTAGCCAAAAATTTCAACTGTCTGCTTGACAGTTTTGGAGAAATAGGCAGAAATGCAAAAATGGTTGCAGTAGCGCCCCTTCTGGCAGACTGGGTTGTCCTTACCAGGGTGGGTTGAGGGTCAGAGGACAAAGGTACCATCTATATTTCGTTTGGATTGGTCATTGGTAAGCCTGTTAAATGGCTGCTTAATTTTGATTGGCTGATAGTGGCCACCATTTTAGAACTTATGACTGCCATTGTATGTGTCTGACCTGCCAAATTTCACTTGGATTGGCCAAGTCAGTCAGGAGATATTGGCAGATTTTAGTTGTAGCGCCCCCTATTGACAAAATGTGGCCCATCTCGTACGGTGTCCCCAGAATGGTGCAGAGAGGTAGGTTTTCAAATTTGGTTAAGGCATGGCCAAGTTATAGCAGTCAGACTAAAATGAGCCAAATTTGGACAGGGTTTGGGCATAGCTAATGGCTGTGCGATAGACAATTGTCAGACTTATTTTAATATGTCTTGATCAGCTCAGAGGTCTGATTGGTCTGACACCTCATTTGTCTGATTTGGTTGGACAAGGTAGGACTTTAAGGCAGAAGTAGTATTTAATTAGCAAAAAATCTAAGTAGACGGTGCTTAATAGTCCATATGGCAAGTTAGTAGGGCATGGCTGTCTGTATCTGCAGAAAAAAAAAAATTAGACTGTAGGACTAAAGGATCAGGAGATATTGAACGAAACGTTGGGTCAGATGATCTGAGTAGTGGGTAGGAATAGCCATCTTCCTGCCAAATTTGGTCGGCCTAGGTCTTACGGTTTAGGCTGGCCATTCAGTTTTAGGGAAGAAAAATTAATTACTTAATTACTAGCGATTAGTAATCAAAGAAGTCAAAAACAAGATACAGCTAATAATAAAAGACATAAATGAGAAAATATCAATATCAACAATCACAAAAAGCAAGAGAATAAAAATCTTAAAATCTAATGATTTAAAAACAAAAATTTTAAATTAGTTTTAAAAAATTTAAACTGACAGGCAGCCAATGTAGTGAAGCTAAAATAGGAGAAACAGAATCATATTTTCTTTCTGCAACTAAAAAGCGAGCAGCAGCATTCTGTAACAACTACAACCTACTTATCAAGGATTTATTGATTCCACAATACAATGAGTTGCAGAAATCCAGACGTGAAAAAATAAAACCATGCATCACTTTCTCAAGATTCCTATGAGATAAGAGGTTTTACCTTAGCTAAAAGACAAAGTTGAAAAAAACTCTTTACTACGGAGTTTCTGCTTCTCAAATGAGCGGTGGCTGTCAAAAATAACCCTCAGGTTATGGACATGTGGTTTGATAAAATACGAAAAGGAACCAAGGAGTTCACGACCCTTTTGGATTATTGCGGATGGGCAAATACAATTAGCAACTCAGTTTTTTGATCAAGATCAAGAAAATTATCAGCAATCTAGGATCTTAGTTCAGAGACAATTTTTCAGCCGGGTTATTTCCGAGCTATTGACAAGAATGTAAACCTGTGTATCATCTGCACTGAATGGGATGTTGAACTTCCTGAAGATAGTGCTCATTGGTTTTAGATAAATTCAAAATAAAATAGGGTCCAATATGGATCCCTGAGGAACACCACATTTTACAGGCGCTAGAGATGAGACAGTAGAATTGAATGACACCAAGAATTGTCTACCAGTGAGATGAGATTTAAACCAGTAAAGAGCAGCACCTTTAAGCCCAACCTGTTGTTCCAGCCTTCTTTACAGAATGTCATGATCAACAGTATCAAATGCTGCAGTGAGATCTAGGACAAGAACTGTGTCAACTGAGTCAACAATGAGCGAGGTGTCATTAAACACCTTCAGAAGAGCTGTCTCAACACCATGGAAGCGTCGGAAGCCGGATTGGTACATCAAATAAATTGTTAAGATGACCGACTGATTATGAATAATTGTTTCTAAAATTTTAGCCAGAAAAATCAGTTGTGAAATTGGTCGAATGCTCCAGGTCCAAATCTAGACCTGCTTTTTTCAGAACAGGTCGCATCACTGCCTGTTTGAATAATGATGACACCACCAATAAGAGAGGGCCCAGAACATCAAAAGCTTCAACTAAAAGGTGTGAGGGAATAACATCTAGAGGACAGAAAATAGGTTTAAGTTTAACCACGGTACTCTGAGTGTGAGACAGCCTCAAAGGATTCAAATACAATGTCATGATCAACATCCCGAAGTGAATATCCAGTAGGAACAATCCCAGAATGGATAGCATCAATTTTACTGACAAAATATGAAAGAAACTGCTCACATGAAAGAGTATTAATAGATCCTGTCTCTAACAAAGGGTAAATAACTGCATTAATAGCCTTATACAAAACCCGAGGATTGTTAGAGTGAGAAGTTACCAGACCGGAGTAATAATCATGTTTAGCTTTGATCACTGCCATTTGGAACTTAAACAAAGAAGTCCTGAAGATCTGCTTAGACAGTTAACCTATCTTTCTTCCAGTGGCTTTCAGCCATTCTACAGTCATGATGTGTAGTGCACAGCTGATGTGTAGTGTCATTTAACCAAAAATAAAAGGTTTTCCCTTATGTACTGTATCTTAAAAGGAGCAATAGAGTCTAAAATCATTTTACATGATAAATTTAAAGCTAAAACAGAATCATCAATACTGTCACACTGGCATTGTGTTTCCAAATTGGAGAATCTAATTTTAAAATCAGATATAATGGCTGGAGTTGCAGAAATCCAGACGTGTGTTTTTTTTTTTTTTTCCCCCCACATCGCTTTCTCAAGATTCCTATGAGATAAAAGGTTTGACCTTAGCTAAAAGGCAAAGTTGAAAAAAAACAACTCTTTAATACGGAGTTTCTGCTTCTCAAATGAGCGGTGGCTGTAGTGTTAATATCAACAGTAATATTCACATCCATTGTTATGGAAAAATGATCAGTAAAAGCAACATCACATTTCAATATTGACTGTAAAACCTTGTTAAAACAAGATCGAGGGTGTGGCCGAGAGAATGAGTTGGAGAGTTAATATGCAGTGTAAATTCAAATGTGTCATGACCTGCTCCTACAATCCTCTTCTGTGCCACGCCCCCTCATTTTCCATGTGTGCAACCCCGATTGTGACCAGCTGTTTTCTGTCATTTCAATTTGTCCTGTGTATTTCAGTCCGCGTTCAAGTACGTTTCCCAAGGTCTGTCATTGAAGTCTCATGGTAATGATAAAAAGCCATTAACCGATTGTGGCGGAACGAGCAGGGAGGGGATGAAGGATGTTTGACTTTCACTCTAAGGAATCTCTGGTTGATAACCCACTTAGAACCAAGGCTCACAGGTTCGTTCACACATATATACAGGCAGGGACGTGATTCCAACATATAACTTTATTACTCATTACAATCAGACAGCCTAAACCCCCCCAAAAACCATGACAAACTGGGCAAGGAACAGTTTGTTTTAGCACAGGGACAAAAAAAGGCAAAACTTGGGAAGGGGAAAGACTTCAACACTGCACAGCACATGTGACCACAACACACTCCACACCACTCCAGGTGTTCTCCACTAACAGGCTAATCAAATGAAACAGCCCCCGTCCTAAACAATTTCACAAACACTCACAAATAAAACTTAAACACAAAAGGGTAAAAAGAAATCATAATAACCAGTTGGTAAAATAAAACTTAAACAAAAAACAGCAGAATAAGACAAAACAAAGCAATAAAAAACAGAAACAACACATTAATAATCTTAAAATCAATTTAAAATAACATACAGAAGCCCAGCCTACCTTGCCTCAGTGAAACTGACGACAGCCTTCGTTCACCAGAAGAAAAACTCATACGTCCATCGTTTACTTTTAGTAACCAATTAGTAGAACCAAGGTTTCAGCGATGGAGGAGATGAGGGGTATGAAGCCCAAACTCAGGCACTAAAACCAAAGAACCCATTAGCCAGCACGTAACCGACCTTTGCTAAAAGCCAGCCTGATAAAACATACCTCCTGCTTGACACAAATAAGACGCCCGACAAGAAGCAGCCACTTAAAATGATAGAACACGTTACCGGTCCGGACGCCTAGTCCTCCAAAAGGGTGAAACCAAGTAGAAGGTACACACCCAGGTGGAAACCTTGTGATATACACTCACCTAAAGGATTATTAGGAACACCTGTTCAATTTCTCATTAATGCAATTATCTAATCAACCAATCACATGGCAGTTGCTTCAATGCTTTTAGGGGTGTGGTCCTGGTCAAGACAATCTCCTGAACTCCAAACTGAATATCAGAATGGGAAAGAAAGGTGATTTAAGCAATTTTGAGCGTGGCATGGTTGTTGGTGCCAGACGGGCCGGTCTGAGTATTTCACAATCTGCTCAGTTACTGGGATTTTCACGCACAACCATTTCTAGGGTTTACAAAGAATGGTGTGCAAAGGGAAAAACATCCAGTATGCGGCAGTCCTGTGGGCGAAAATGCCTTGTTGATGCTAGAGGTCAGAGGAGAATGGACTGACTGATTCAAGCTGATAGAAGAGCAACTTTGACCGAAATAACCACTCGTTACAACCGAGGTATGCAGCAAAGCATTTGTGAAGCCACAACACGCACAACCTTGAGGCGGATGGGCTACAACAGCAGAAGACCCCACCGGGTACCACTCATCTCCACTACAAATAGGAAAAAGAGGCTACAATTTGCACGAGCTCACCAAAATTGGACAGTTGAAGACTGGAAAAATGTTGCCTGGTCTGATGAGTCTCGATTTCTGTTGAGACATTCAAATGGTAGAGTCAGAATTTGGCGTAAACAGAATGAGAACATGGATCCATCATGCCTTGTTACCACTGTGCAGGCTGGTGGTGGGGGTGTAATGGTGTGGGGGATGTTTTCTTGGCACACTTTAGGCCCCTTAGTGCCAATTGGGCATCGTTTAAATGCCACGGCCTACCTGAGCATTGTTTCTGACCATGTCCATCCCTTTATGACCACCATGTACCCATCCTCTGATGGCTACTTCCAGCAGGATAATGCACCATGTCACAAAGCTCGAATCATTTCAAATTGGTTTCTTGAACATGACAATAAGTTCACTGTACTAAAATGGCCCCCACAGTCACCAGATCTCAACCCAATAGAGCATCTTTGGGGTGTGGTGGAACGGGAGCTTCGTGCCCTGGATGTGCATCCCACAAATCTCCATCAACTGCAAGATGCTATCCTATCAATATGGGCCAACATTTCTAAAGAATGCTTTCAGCACCTTGTTGAATCAATGCCACGTAGAATTAAGGCAGTTCTGAAGGCGAAAGGGGGTCAAACACCGTATTAGTATGGTGTTCCTAATAATCCTTTAGGTGAGTGTATATACGGTTCCACCCAGGCGCCGCCCACCAATTTACACCCAACGTCAAAGCGGCAACCACAAAAAGGCGTGACCTGCTACATAAGGGTATAGATTGACAACAAACATGAATATTAAAATTGCCAACAATAAGAACTTGGTCGTAGAAGAGTCTAATATCAGCCAGGAGATCAGAAAATTCTAAAATAATCATTATTTCCAGGAGGCCTATACACCACCGCACAAAGCGAGGAAGGAGAGCTACATACTTCAAAAAGTTGCAGTTTGAAGCTACTTTGATGCCATGGGGCTGGACAGTTCAAGTTCAATGAGGCAGGTTATCAGCATGCCTTGTGTGGCACCTTTAGTGTGTGTTATAGTGTGTGTAATAATGTGTGCCCCTGTGTATTCCACATATTTCATAATGTAAAGTGTATGTGTCATACTACATATCGATCCCCTGCGTGTTACAGAGAGGCACAGTGAATGATGAAGGGATGATACATCGCAGCTCAAACAAGGGACTTTATTTTAACTCAAAGAAACAAAAGGAACCATGAGGGATCAAAAACGAAGCAGGTAGGCAACAAAAACTATTGCAGGTAGCAGCACAGAGAGAGCCACAGCAAACAGACAACAACCAACTCTGGAACAAGTGCAAGGGCAGGCACATATATACACAGATAATGAGGGTAAGACATGGGGCAGGTGTGAACCAATTACAATCAAACAAATACTAAAGTCTGGGGGCAACAAGAAGCAGGTGTGGGTCAATTCACAAATCACAAAAGACTCAAACACTTAGAAAGGGGTGACTAGTGACATCTGCTGGCCAAGCAGGGAAATGACAGGGTAGGACTGTGAGGTGTGTTAATGTGTTACCCCAAGCGTGTGTGTTATTTAAATAGTTCTCTCAATCTATCTGTGCAGCTGTTAGGGAGAGTGAGAGTGCTTGGCTCAGGTCAGGTAATGAAGGCAGTTCTTTCGGTTAAACTGTGAGAGTTGTTTCATTCAAACCACCATGACCTACAAATTCGCAACAATGGTGTCAGAAGTGGGATCAGGCCTCGAAGATGGGATTGAGGACCTGATTCAGGAGCTGTGACAGACCAAGATGCAAAGTCAGTGCAAAGCAGATGCAGCACCAAGGTAGAGAGAGACCCCATGATCTTTGCATTGTGCCTTCCTAGGGCAGCCCAGTGGGAATAGTGCACTTTACTTACTGTGCTTGCAGTACCAGCCAGAAGAGCACACAGCAGCTCTGCATCAAGTTGTACTGATGAGAGTGGAAGCTGCATATACTGGGATGAAGACCCCCCTGAAGACCCTTTGCAGCAGAAAAGAGCTGCTGGGGCCTTTACCTTGCTTGAGTGCATCTCGCAGCATGGCACAGTGAGCCACTCATGGCCCAGCTCAGCTTGAACGAGAACACAAAGTGGATGCACCAACTTAAAAAGAATGTTTCTTTTTTGGAATACTCATTCTAGTTGTGTGGAATTACTCTCCATGATTCAATTGAGTTTAGTCTAAATAACCTTTTTTTCACTCTGATGGACTCTTGGGAGTTAAAGATATGGTCTTGACTCGGACTTGATTAAGATGGACTCGAACGCAACACTGCAAATAAATACAAGCAAATAAACTAATAGTCCGTACACACATATAGCAAATCAAATCAATGGTTATTTATCAAATGCAAAACAGTGCAGTAAACAGCATATATATATATATATATATATATATATATCAAAGCCTGTTTAATCTTGCAAGTGTAAGAACAGAACAATATAAGCAAGTGAGATAAGCTCACACACACACACACGCACATGTTTGTAATCATATATTTGTGAGGACTCTCCATTCAAAACTCTAATCCCAACATGGCAACCTTAACCCCTACCCAGTCTTAATCTTAACCATAAGCAACCAAACAAAATACAACACTTTTGGTGTTTTTAGTTTATTTATTGCATGCACGAATCTTTGTGAGGACCTGAAAAAAACCAGGCTTTTATCATCATTGTGAGGGACATTTGGTCCCCACAATGTAATATAAACATAATCCACACACATGGGTTAGGTATCTACAGTGCTCACAGAAAGTCTTGGGATGCTTGTTTATTTCTGTAATATTGTTGCTAATTTCTTGGTTTTATAACAAACGTCCATTGACAAGCAATGTTTAACATTTAACAGGTGTGCTTTGTATAAAATAAGCTTACATATTAATAGTGAAATTATGAATGTACTTTTAGTGGCTTAGATAAAGAAAAAGCTTTGTGTATAAGCTACTTGTTCATTTAATTGTTCATTAGGCTGTAAGCATACTTGTCATGTAATCCAATGCAGCAGAGAAATCACAGTGTAAGCAGGGCAGGTGTAATCTCTGGCCAAAACGCATCACTCATTGCAGCTCTCACACACACAGGAAACAGCAAGGAAGATTTATGTAAATATGATTGTGTGTGCCTTGATTGCATTATTGTGATAATAATATACATGCAAGGTCAGGGCTGGAAGTTATGCTCACCCTCTCATGTGAAGCGATTAGGCCAAGTACAAAAACCAACACGAGCCCACTGGCTAGTAAAACACCTACATGTTGGATCACATTTTTTACAGAATTGGCTCTATGGCTAGTAGCAAAAATTCTGAAGTTACACCCCTGTCCGAAGTTATTCTAGATAAGAAATTAAGGTGGTCATATATGGAATAATTAGATGCACTTGTGTCTGGTAAATAGGTGAGAGCTGGAACTCCCACACATTAGTTTTTGCTTTTGGCCCACATCACACTTGAAAATTTCCAGAATTTGATTAACATAGCATTGCTTTCGCTTTGCTTTAGGCTACTGCTGGTGGAAATGAGATGTTGCATTATTAATGCCAGTAAACTCTCTCTAAAAGAAAACCTCCCTCTAGAGCGGGTTCTGCCCTGATCATCTTGAGAGCCAGCGCAGCGCTCAGCCCAATCCGTGATGTGATTGGAACTGGGTTTGGAGCATATGGATGCCATTTGTGAGGAGCAGGGAGAGAGCGAGGGCCCGTCAGTCCTCTTCTATCTCTCTATCCATCTGTTTTCACATTAGTTCGCAAGTTATAGTATCCTCAGGGCTCCAATGAGCATAAATCAGAGCTACGAGCATGTTCAGCTTTTCCCAGCCATCATAAAACGATGATTTAAAATCCGGTCTGTCAAAACACGCCGCTCCAAAATTCAGCTTGCGCCCCTCGCGCTGAACACAAGGGTTCTATCTCATCTGTGTAATTTATGGCCACCGAGGGAGATGCGGATGGTTAGAGCCCAGGCCACCAACAGACAGAAAAACAGTAGGGACCTCACCTTCTTCAGCTGGAATTCTGGATTGAATGGGATCAAAAAAAGGAAAAAAAAACCAATTAGGTCTGTTTCTCTTCTAGGCAAAATGGATGGCGAGCTGAATGTTTAGGGGGCTAGTGATGCATCTTTGGACCACTGGGTCATGTTGCACTTGTGAGTTTCGGAATTCATACCACAGAGGGTCTTGCCAGGGGCCATGTGATGTATTGGACGCTGGGTGCATGCAGAGGCCAAATAAAACATGGGGGTGGGGGGGGCTAGCAGTATGTGCAGTATGGTGTTTGTATAACCACGTCACTCTGTGCTTCTTTAATGTCATCCTGTCTGTAAGCCCACCCAGCCCATGGAGACGTTCTCACCTGGAAGCG